TCTGTCGTGGGTGCAGAAGCACCAGGTGTTGATGCTCCCGGAGAGCCGGGAGTGGGGCTTGGCCGTCGGTAACGGAGGGGACTTACTGTTCACACCTGTGTAACTAGTAACGGTGGGTGTGTAGTGTGTGCCCTGCATACCAGGCGTGATGCCGCGTGGGTTTTACACGCCCATGATCTCGTTTGATTCTAGCAGTGTCCTCATGGAGTAGATGTGATCCTTGTCCCCATTGGTGCACCTAAGGCTCCAGAGGAGGCACAGCTCCGAAGGACAGAGCCTGGATTCACATGGGGGTCTCCTCCCCTCCCCCCCCAATATATTTTTATTGATTTCAAAGAGGAAGGGGGAGGGGGGGAGAGAGAAAGAGAAACAGAGAAACATCAATGATGAGAGAGAATCATTGATTGGCTGCTTCCTACATGCTCCCTACTGGGGATCAGCCACAACTTGGGCATGTGCCCTCCCGGTTCATAGGTCCGCTCTCGAACCCTGAGCCGCCCCGGCTGGGCCTCGGGTAGGTCTCCTAATTGCTCTTGCTGTATTGGCTGAGTGTACCTTTTCCAGCCCCGCTTTCCCTTCCACTACCCACTGCTTTCAGGTGTGAGTGGTGTTCCTGTCAGTTCCGTTTCACCTGGTTACAGCCAGCTGTCGTTTCCACTTAAAAAAATTAACTCAAGCTGTCTTCTAAAATATGTCTCATGAAGGTTAGACAGATTGGATGTTTGTAAACTCATCTATGGGCTTGTCTAGAGGGTCAGTGCCTCTATCTGTATGCTAATCGGTGATTCCTTCTTGTCAGGAGGAATCTTATAATAAAATTCATATTTTAATTGAGGGATAAGTATTGCGTTAAAGTTATAGTAGTGAACATGTTGCTCATGGAATTTACAGTCTTAACTGGGAAGACCAGCATTACCTAATTTCACAAATGTTTGAATGATGGTAAGCGCTATGAAGAGACTACATAGGCACTCCAAACTGAACCCAGGTGGGGAGGGGGGCGGGTCAAGAAAGTCTTCTTTGAGGAAATCACATTAGAGAACCAAAGGCTGCATAACAGCCAAGTGTGGAGAAGGGTACTTGGAAGAAAGCACGTGTGTGAGGGCCATTGGGCAGGAAGGGGTTTGGCCTGGATCTGAAGCTGAGATAGAGCTGGACCAGAAAGAACATGGAGGGCCATGGTGGAGAGTGGCTTTGATTGTAAGAGCAACTGAGGGAGGTCTTTAGGAGTTTTAGCCCAGAGTTATGTGATCAGATTTCGGTTTTTTAATCAGTTTTAGATCAGAAGGGAAATAGCTTGAACCCATGTCCCCTTCTGCAGACAGCATTGGGCCATGGCCAATATGGAAATGGGTCTGGGACCCAGGCTGCCTGAACCCCATTTGGGTTCCGGGTTACATGCTTGCACCGGGAGCCAAGAAGCTGAGGCCACGGCTTCGCCTCCCTCTCCCCCAGTGGCTTCCTCTGAACCCCCTCCGTCCACCACTGAATATATTCGCTTTAATGGTTTGCATCCCTAGTCCTCTCGGGCCTTTTCTGAGTGGGAAGGGGAGTTGACTCCTGATGTGGGCTAAGGGGGAAGCAGCAGTGGGTCCTACTTGGGGGAGTAGGATGGAGGGGAGGTAAATGAGCTGATTTACCTAACCATTCCTCTGTTGTTAGGTAGTAAGGTTGTTTGAAATGATCACTATTACAAAAATACTGCAATGATTGTCTACATACCTATATTGTTTTGAGAATAGGCTAGAGCAGAAGATTAAAACTTAATTTCAAATGCTTTCCAGAGTATTACCAGATTACTCGTTGAATGAAAAGTGCCGGTTGTATCAGTGCCTTCTTAGTCTTAATGTTTGCTCATTTAGTTTCCTTTCATTTTAATTTCTTTGCAAGATAATAAGGAACATAATATATTGTCCACTAATGCTTTCTGTGTCTGCCTCTTTGGGGCTCACTTTCTCCTTACATTTTAATCTAAAACATGGGTGACCATGGAGACGTGAAGGGGGAAAAATCATGACACATCTAAAGTTAACCTTTGTGTCGTTTTATAACCAAATTAAAATGTCAGAGAATACATACACTGGGCCATCCCAGAAAATGTGCCAGCTCCCTCTCCCTTCCTTTGGTTCTGTGTACCGGCCTGAGGGGAAACCAACAGCTGGAAGAAAGGTGTGCCTTAGAGGGAGAGCATTCTTGTGTCCACTGGAGAGTGTGCTCTGAGGAAAGGTGCATCACTTGGGTGCAGAGGGTGGGTTGGAACCAAGTGGAGCCCTTTTCCAGATACACAAGATGCCATTCCAAGTGGAATGACTTAGCGACTCTGTAGTCCCTAAGCAGAGCACTGTAGTCCTTAACCTGGTGCTTAGAGACTCCTGGAGGAAGTCACATTCCCCCTTCACAGCTGGTCCCCAGTTGGCAGTCAGCCACTAAGAACTGATGGGGTAGCAGGGGAAAAGGCAGCTGTGATTGGTCAGTCCTGATGGCCCCTGCTTCGGGAGTGGAGTGCACTGAGCTCTTTCCTGGCTGGTCCCTATGATGTCATATTGATGGCACCCAATTTACAGATTTATTTTTGAGCTGTAGCGTGGCACTCCTGAGGCGTGGAATAAAAACACAGAAGCAGCAAGGGGATGTGGGCAGTGTGCAGCTGTCCAGTGCTGTGATGGGGTCACTGGCTTTTCTGAGCATGGTGTCCCTGACAGGTAGTAGGGAGGCCACCTAGACAGCTTTTCTGGACTTGAAGAAATAATTAGGTTGAGCAGGTCCTCTATGGCAGTGAAGTTTACTGGGGCAGCGCTTAAAGTTGAAAAGACAGACTCACAGCTCCAATCACAGTCCTCATCCAGTTCCTTACCTGGAATGCTTCCTCCCTCACCTACTCAGACTGCTACTAACCATTCAGATGTGAGCTTATGAGTCGCCTTTTTGGGGACACTCGGCTACTCCACCGAAAACTCAGTTCAGTCTGTGGTGTGTGTGACTACCGGTTATTAAGGTTTAGCTCCAGGACTAGAAACACTCCAGCAGGGACTCCGTGTTGCCTGCCACTGTGTCGCTAGCATTTAATCCAACACTTGACACAGTAGGTATTCAATAAATATTTACTGACTGAATAGTGTAGGAGGACATTTTCATTCCAATATAAAATAAACAGTACAACTGTTGCTATGTTTTATGGCTCCTGCCAAGCAATTCCAAAAATAGGTTCAGAGAAACCAGATCAACCCTGAGCAGCCATGCCCCTGCCCTTGTTACTTCCTGCTAAACATAAGAGAGGCTAGATTACCCAATCCAAGAGTTGGCTTTAGTGATGAAATGAAACATCATAATGGATCGCCCAATTTTTCACTTTAAAATAAATATATATATATATATTTATATATATATTTTTTTTTACAGAGAGGAAGGGCGAGGGATAGTTAGAAACATCATCAGCTGCCTCCTGCACACCCCCTACTAGGGGATGTGCCTGCAATCAAGGTACATGCCCTTGACTGGAATCCAACCTGGGACCCTTTAGTCTGCAGGCCAATGCTCTATCTACTGAGCCAAACCGGTCAGGGCGATTTTTCACTTTCTATTCAGAGAGCAGGTGGGCTGTGGACTGGTT